AGAAACTCACCGCCTGGAGCAAGGCGCCCGGAGGCGGCTGCCCAGCCCCGGGACCCGGCCCCAAGATGAGCTCATGGCGGGGTTTCTTAGCAGCAGACGCCGCCGCCACCAGAGCCATATCCGGCCCGGGAGCCTTCCGTTTCTGCGGGTCGATCATCCTTCCCTCAACGCCGTCGCGCGAGGCCAAGAGAGCAAAGGCCGCGCCCTCCTCGTCCTCATTGGAGCCTTCATGCAAAGCACACGCCCCCTTCCCGACGCCGGTTGGTGGAGAACGCTGGAGAAGAGGCGGGAAGACCATGACGTAGCGACGAGGGCGCAATGCTTAACAAGGGGCACCCTGAATGGTCAAGACTCCCGCTCGACGCTAAATTCATTCTGTCTCCCGATTGGCTGAAAGGGGGAAGTAGGCCGCTGTGCTCTGAGGGTGGTGGATAACGAAGACGGCGGTTGCGGTGGAGGCTGGATGCGCATCCTGACGGCGGTAAGATGCGAGTGAGGGCAAGACGGAAGGGGGAGGCTGTTTCAGGTTGCCCTCCCTTCAGTCTGTCTCCTTCTCTAGGGGATGGACTACAACGCCCGTCATTTTGTCCTCACGGTTTTGCTGGTGGGGTGATGGTCGTTGTAGTCCAGCATTGAATGTGAAACTGGAATGAAGGACGGCTCCCATCATCCGCTGCCGGGGGGGGCAAGGTAGACGTAGATCGGAATGGAAAAGAACTGCTTGACCCCCGCCTTTCGGGAGCCGTTTCGGATTAAGAGCGTTTTGTCTTCTGGTTCTGGGACTCAGATCCGATCAACTTTTGAGAAAGCTCTAGAAATACTTATTTTTCATGGCCCCAGTGAAGTCGGTTCAGCATTAATCCACGCCTTTCATGTTAAATGTATAGATTTATTCAATTATAGTTGCAATATAATAATGTATTATAAGGTAAAGAGCCTTTTACTGTACTTTAAAGGCTCCTTATTTTGTGTGAGGAGACTGCCATGTGTTATTGTTTTCGTTGCTGTATTCTGTGGCTGTCCTCTGCTTAGTGATGAGCACAAGTTATCATTATTATCATTATTATATTTTTTTATCCAGCCTTTTTTATATATAACTCAAGGTGGCAAACATACCTAATATTCCTGCCTCCTATTTTCTTCACAACAACCCTGCGATGTGGATTGGGCTGAGAGAGTGGGACTGCCCAAAAGTCACCCAACCAACTTTCATGCCCGAGGAAGGCCCAGAACTCACTGTCTCCTGGTTTATAGGCCAGCACTTTAACCAAGCTGGCTCTCTAAATAAACACAACTATTCCTTGTTACTTGCAGCTTCGTGTGTACAGCTTTGCTCTCCTGGCAGGTGAATTCCACTGAATTCACTTGCTCCTCCCTGGCTCGCAGGCATATCTTCTTAAGTCCCACTAACCAGGGAATAAGTCATGATGATGATATTTGGTCAACTCAGTGATCAGTGATATGCTCACTGGGGCATACTTCTTGGGGATTAAATTCTCATCCTGGTTACACTTACCTGGGATGAAGGCCAACTCAGTTTTATTTCTCAGGAGATGTGAGATTTTACTGTGGACTTCCAATTTCTTCCAATTCTTTACTTTTCAAGTCTGTTGCATCTGGAGTTCTTTAGAACATAAATATATCCCCAAGCTTGAAGTTGGATCACCCCAGCGCAGGAAAGATGTTATAACTGAGACCTTCTGTATGTGAAACAGATTGGATTTCCGCAAACCTACATTTAGGAGTTCGATGAAATACCAGCATGTGAAATATTGAAAGAATTAAAACATGTATAGGTGCTATTTTGATTGATTGATTTAACCAATTTGTATGGCCGCCCATCTCACCACAGGCGACTATGGGCAGTGTACAACAAAGCTAAAAAGAATCAATACATTAAACATATAAAAAGCAAAATGAAACAGAAAATAAAAAGATGTTAAAAATAAGGGAGCCAGATTGATTGTATGTTAGTTGTAACATGTTTCTATTATTTTTGTTTGTTTCTATTTCAGTGTAAGAGCTTTCTTAGCTGCCAAGGGATAATATAGAATATACAGAAGGAAACTTGACCAGAAGTTTTGTATGAACTCCTTTTGTGGTAGCTGAAAGCAATGGAAGTGCTTCCAGAACTCTATGCTGTTTTCCAAGGAGAGGTATGTTCCCAAACGGTTAATTTTCAGAGAAATAAGATGACACACTTTTTAGAAAACAAATGTATTTTTTAATTGTCAAAACATAATTTACAAGGTTTTAAGCCTAAATAGGTTGAGTGGATAGTAAGCCTAATAAACATAAAGGCACTTTTTTCAATTAACATGCATAGGATTCCATTGTTAAAAAAATCCCCCACAGAAACTAATAGGATGTCTCTAATTAGTAGATTTAGGAACTTAGATAAAGTAAATGGCTTCTTGAATAACATCTTTGAAATACTGTAGAATTGTAGCAGCTGGTGGTAGTTTGATGCTAAATATTATAATTTCTAATATATATTAATATATTTATAAGTTAACCATGCTAAATTGGACAAGGTTTAGTTCCAGGTACACACAGAATTTCAGCTTAAGGAATACAGAAATAGACAATTTTTGAGATGGGTAAGATACAAAGAAAGAGGTAACACAGCAGTAGAGCCATATTTATGTAAGTGTTCCCTCTGACATTTCCAAATAAAAAGATCAGGTGGCCTCTTGAGATCTATCTATCTATCTAGCATCAAATAGACAGAACTGACAATATTGTGGTGGCTTCTGTTGTTACTGGGAGCAGGATAAGGAGACAGTATTCTAATGAATGTTTCTTCATTTGTGAGTAGTTGCATGTATTTTATTTTTACTTTTTTTTTTTTACAGATTGCTTCTGTGACAGAATATGGAGCATTTATAAAAATTCCAGGAACTCAAAAACAAGGTTTGATTAATTCTTTTATTAGTATAGTGAATTGTGTTACTTTTTCACTTATAAGTGTTACAGGTGCCCATTCCCAAATGGCCTTGGTGGCTTATACAAAGCTTATATCATGGGAAAATGAATAGAAAATAAAATTGATTAGTTTCTTTGTAGAACATAGGTAGTATTTTAGAAAATTTTTGTATTGATCTCTTACCAGGAAATAAAACATTTTCTCTCATGTCATTGCTTTAGGCCTTGTTCACAAAAGCCAAATGTCAAACAGTAGAGTGGACAAACCCTCAGAGATGGTAGAGGTTGGAGAAAAGGTGTGGGTGAAACTTATAGGAAAAGAGGTAAATTTGCTGCTCCATTTCACAGCATAAACTGCACAAATATTTTTATTAGAGAGGAATGATATCACAGTCTTACATTTACTCTGAAATTCACAGGCAAAATGACTGAAAAAGCATGCAACCTGAAAATCTAAATTCTCATGGAAATCTTATTAATTTCTTTAGAATTTTAAATAAACGTGGAACTGAGAAACTAGTTTGAGATTTATGAATGATGCTGACTTATGTTTACAAGGCGTCTCAAATGAGTTCAGAAATATTTGTTGGATATTACATTCTACTCTGTACATTTGTGACAAACTTATTCAGTATTGGACAAAACAGGCAGTTGATCCATTCTGTAAATTTATTTCAGGTGTATGCAACTCAGAGAGTCAATGTTGTTTACATACTTTACAAAATACCCAGTCTGAAATATCTAGTTAAATTCTGCCTTAAATCTTAGAGAGGTTGATAATATCCCAAGGTTCATTGCAAATAGCTAATGTTGTATTTATATTAATATATATTAATGATGAAAGAATAGTACCTTAAAGTGGTTGTCATAACCTGTACATCAATTTTTGTCTTGGATGTCAGGGAATTAAACAAAAATAAAAATGTATTGCTTTGTGTTTTCAGAAGAAGGATGACAAACTGAAACTCTCTCTTTCCATGAAAGTTGTTAATCAAGGAACTGGAAAAGATTTAGACCCCAATAACGTCGTCCTTGAGTAAGTGAAATCTGCATTATTCTTTCTCTCCCCTCTATCCTTCTAGTACGGCTTGTCATGAAATTGGATAAGAAAGTGTAAAATCCAGCAGTTGTTCTGAGCTCAGTAGAAGAGACCAAGTGGCCCTGTGACAAAATGTAGTGTGGAGGATTCCTGATCAATATTTCATCCAGCCTTCTTGTAAAGCGCTTCATTCCACTCCACTTTCTGCTGATTTTTTGCCCACACTTAACAACAGCCAGTCAATGCTTTATGTTTAATAAGCGTGATTGTAACACGCTTTGTTGGATTCTCCCCACCTTTGTATGATTTTTAGAGTTTTTTGTAGTTATGCAGACTCTGGGACTCCACACGGTTGCGTATAAATGGTGCCATTTCGACTATTTAAGTGTCTTTAGTTGGCAAATGAGTTCACTATTTCTGTTAGAAATAAGTAATCTAACTACATAAGAAACATGGATTTCACAAAGCAGTGAAAACCATCTTGTTGTGGCAGGCTTTTTGTGTAGACCAGTGTTTCTCAACCTTGGCAAGTTTAAAATGTGCTGGCTGGGGAATTCTAGGAGTTGAAGTCCACACATCTTAAAGCTGTCAAAGTTGAGAAATACTAGTGTAGACAGTGGTCCTGGGCTGCGTTTGTGATTTTTAGTATGTTTTTATAAAATGTACTTTTCTATTATGTAAACTGCCTTGAGTTGTGAGAAGTTGAGTGATATAAAACTGTTGCTAAAATAATTTTGTGACTGCATGGTTTTCTGATTATGGACAATAAGGTAGATGGAATCATAGAGAGTGACAATTCAGGAAGCTATCTTTTAATGCCAGTTTTCTTGAACTCATTTAGAATGTGGTCATTGTTCTTAGTGGAACCAAGGGTTTTCCCCTACCAATACTAATGTTTCTGTTTTTGAAAATTCTTGTGTTTCCATGCAGTCAAGATGCGCGGAAAAAATGCTCATTTAAAGATTATACCAGTCAAAAGATCACTCTAGAAGCTGTTTTGAACACAGTGTGTAAGAAGTGTGGTTGTCCAGGTATGCTGACATTAAATTTTTATTTTGTTGTTTATTGTGCATTTTCAGATGTTTATAGTGGGTAGGGATTTGAAATGATTTGAGAAACTGAGGAGATATAATTTTATTTATGGGCATCCAGTATTTTTATCCCACATGAAGACAATATATCCCATTCTCCTAAACTGGAGAACATAAATTTAATGAGACTTAAACGTTTAGTTATAAATAGCACCTTGAGTTCATGTGTAAATCTTGAGGAAACAGAAAAGAGAAATCTAAAAATGTTGCCTTACTTTATGTATCTATATGTATAAATAATTTGTTGCAGGTCACTTTGCTAAAGATTGCTTCATGCAGCCAGGAGGGACGAAATATACCCTTATACCAGAGGATGAAGCAGTCCCTGCAGAAGATGAAAAGAAAGTCCATCATTCTGTGAAGAAAAGGAAAAAGGTACCAAGTTCATTTTCTTAAACTCTTGCATGTCGATGTGACTTGACAGAGCTATGCTGTTGAATAGAATTTGTAGCATTTTAGAGCCCTGACTTTAAAAGATATGAAGTATCTACTGAAAGTTCTGTACACAAACTGAGCATGCTTAATTTATAATTAAATGCCAGTTTACATATGTAGTTTTCCATATCTCCCAAATATATTTTTTCAACATTTTTTTCAATAAAATTCTCCCAAATAAAATGAATCATTTTTGAAAATGCATGCTTGGATTTTTTTGATAGAACTTAAAAAGGGATTTACATTTCTGGTTTATTTCTTAAGTAATGCTGGCTGTCAGCAGAATTGGAGGTGCCTTTAATCCTACAGAATTTTAGAACAATCATTCCTCTATATAGTAATTCTACAAAAAGAAAAATTAGCGGTTGCTGAATTGCTTATTTACTGCACACAGTCCCAGAAAATTACCTAGAATATTTCAGTGAGTCAAGATGTTAGAGATCTCAAGTCTCAAAGATTAAACTCTTGCTAAATTAGATTTTAATACTGGATTTTGTCAGAGCTCTTACATGTTTAGTTTGCATGTTGCTAAACTAAAGAGTGCCTCTCCTCCTAGTTTATGTTGTGTTCTCCAGGATTGTAAGCTCATAGGCTTGGAAAAGCTGTAATAGATCAGCAGATCTGAGATACTGGGCTGGTTTGGACAAATTTTATGACTTTCCCAGGCAGTTTGCAGTGATTTAAAGTCAGTATTTCTAATAATTTATCAATGGTTCGTATATTATTTTCTTAAAATGTAATTGAAAAGTATGTCTCCAGATGCAGTTATTTATGGAAAGGACTTGAGATTGCTGCAGCTTGTCCAACTTTCAGAACGCCAGTGCCTTCATATTTATGTATTTATTTCCCACGCTTCATTCAGGAGCTCAAGGTGACATACATAGCACTTCTGCTTCCTATTTTTCCCCCACAACAACCAGTAGTGTGCATGCAGAGAATAACACATTGTTGTAATAGGAGATGGTTCCTTTATGTTTTATTATCTTCAGTTCAAATACTTTAAAATGGGTATGATTACACATATGGTACTGAACTTGCTTTAGCAAAAGGAGAAGATAAAACAACTGGAATTGCTTTCTGTTTAGCTGATAAGGATAGTTGATTTAGCTGATATTGAAGAGCCAGCTAATGTAATAGAGCCGTCTAAATGGCAAATGCATAATGAACTTAAAGGTACTCTCTAAGTTCCTGAGTCCGGATCCCTCCGTGCCATAAAATTTAGCTTGTGTACTATGTAACAAACAGTGGCTTCTGTTTCTATTTAGTTTTGGGGGCAAAAACTTTATTACTGCAAAGAAGTAGCTCCATTATAGTGATATATTTGCTCATAATCTGTCATACAGAATCCACCTGAGATTTTTTTTCCAAGCAGGATAAAAAGAAAAGGAAGAAACACAAGAACACAGACTTGCAGGCTTCCGACAGCACCGATTCCAACAGCGGGAATCAGCCAGTTCGGAAGAAGGCAAAACGCAAAGAGAAAGCCAGTCCATCTCAGAAGAGGAAAAAGAAGCATCATAAGAAAAAGCACAAGGAATGAGGATCTGACTCTGGGCGGCACGTGTTCCTAATGTGGGTTGTGGCTTCCCTTTTCTCTGGCCGTCAGTTGGAAAAAGAAGAGCTGAACCAGGAGCATGTGTTAAGATAAAATGGTTTTCCTTCTTTGCAAATCAACTTTGTTTCTCAAGGATGGCTAATCTTCTCCCATAAAGTAGAAAAGAAAGAACAGCTTGCCAATGGGTGGTTCCCTGTCCCAGACGTTGGTTTCATACTTGTGACATCTTATTCTTTCATTTCTTCATGCCTGGATTTGAGCCAGCCTCTTTGGAGCAACCCAGAGCCGTCTTGCAGAAACCTGTATGGGGTTGGCAGCCAGTGCGTTTTCTCACTCGGGAACAGCTGTATGCGGACTCAGCATCTGCCAGCTATTGTCTGCCTACCAGCAGAAGGAGCTGTGGATGTACTCTCTGGCCTGACAGGGTCTCATTGGTGAAGAACAGATCACACCACTGCATTCCAGTTGTCCTACTTGCCCTGCCATACTGTAGGAGGAAGAATTCAGCTACAGGAGCAGTTGTCTTAAAAACTGAGAAATGAGCCAATGAATAAAGGCCTTTGTTTGTGGAGGTTTCTTTATTGTAGGCTTGGATTTTTGGGGAGAGACAGAGATAAATCAGGAGGCCTCCCAGTTGTCTTAATTTCCTACTGTGAGATGCTTTAAACACAAGGGTGGGCAGCACCTTAGTGAGCCTTAAAAGAGCTATTTGGGGGGGGGAGAGAGAGAGAGAGAGAGAAAATTGCACGAGTGAGTGGAGCTCACATAAATGGAGCTGAGGGGCAGCACGCTGGCTGTAATACTTCAGGGCAGTGTTTCTCAACTGTGGTAGCTTTAAGAGTGGACTTCAACTCCCAGAATTCCCCAGGTAGCCATGCTGGTGGTGGAATTCTGGGTGTTGAAGTCCACTCTTCTTAAAGTTGCCACAGTTGAGAAACACTGTTTTAGGACATAGTTACTTAGATGGGAAACTGCTGGACAATTCCAGGGCTCTAGGCTAGATTGGGAAGTTGAAAAACAGCCTGGCACTAATCAGTGACACTATAGTGACTTATTGTCGCCAAGAAAACTACATGGACAAGTCCATGAAATACCAGGGGTTGAATTCAACTTGAAAGAGGCTTTCCTTTTCCTCCCCATTTTAACTACAAAGGCTGCAGAGGTGTAGCCAGTGGCGTAACTCTTGGAGTGGCGGCTTTTCTGCATTATCCTGGCAACTTTGAAGCTTATGGTTTAGTTATATCCTGTATTTCTGCCTTTGGGAAATCTTAGGCAATTTACATAAGGTGTGTAGCTAAACTTCCTTTGATCAGAGATTAGGTAATGTCTGTTCAGATCATGCCTCCAGCATAATACCATTTCTCGGAAATGTAACTGTCAAGCACTCCAAGAACCATAATTGCCAAAAAAAATTGTTCGCGCCTGTATTGCCTTTGGAAGATCTTCATGGCAAACCACTGGTAGTGTATTACCGTATTTTCTTACTCTCTGATTAGCACAATATACATTGATGACATGAGCCTCTACACAGTGTAATCTTATCTGCTCTTTCTGGTACAAGGAGAAGCAGTGCATGCTTAAAAGGTTTAACGTTGGCCGTGTAAAGTTTCTAAACTTCCCTTAACAAAAATTAATTACATTTATAGACTGTCAAATCCCTAAAGACTACAAGAAAGATACACAAACAATATACAATAAGTATTTAGTATACCACTAAAAGGTCCACAAGTGAATGAAAATAGAGTAACATGAAATTAACCAAACTGTAATCCAACTAAAATGGAATTAAGACCCAAATGCCCTTTGGAATAGGTCTGTTTTGAGCAGTTCTGGGAGGCAATCAGGGTGGGAGCCTGTCAGATGTCCACTTGAAAGCTGTTCCAAAGAACTGGTGCAGCCACTGAAAAGCAGGAGAGGAACTTTGCCTCTCCCCCCCCAAAATAGCACACCGCTATTAATTTTTCCTGAGTAGATCAAACTGTGCGGACTAATTCTAACGGGGGAATGCAGTCTTGCAGATAATGAGGATCTAAATCATGTAGGGCTATATAAGTTAGTCAGCATTTTAAACTGCATCTGGAAGCTTGTTGGATCTGCATTACTGGTGTAATATGATCCCACCAGCAAAAGCCAATCAGCACACAGACTGCTAGAATCAGAACCAACTGAAGCTTCTAAATGATCTTCAAATGTAGAGTGTGTTGCAGTAATCTAAGTAGGTGGTGACAAGGGCATGAGTCACCATAGTAAGACACTCCTAAGGTAGGGCTGCAACTGGTGCACCAGCCAAAGCCACCGCCTCCACGTACCCTTCTAACAGAAGCCATGAGTCCAGATGCATACCTAAGTCATAGACCTGTTCCCCCCAGAGTAGTGTGCCAAATAATTATTGACCAGATTTATTGGGTGAATAAAGGCACAAAGTAATACACTTAATTCCATAATTCAGGTTAAGAGATCACTTTCTAACATCAGCTTGCCTTGTTGAGAATGTAGGTGACTCTGGCTACCAGGTCACTACACAGCCAGCTAAGTAATGAGACAACTTGTAAATCTGCAAGATGGGAGAACCTTGATTAACTCATGCTGTGATGGGACAAATGGTCTTGATTGATAAGCAATGGAATGTATAGTTTTGGCAAACTGACCCATCTGGACTACACAGGCGAGATTGGGTGAGTCTAATCCAATGTCAGTCTTACACATACTTTGTAATATAGTTTTGTAGAAGGCAAACACACCTTCTCTGCATAGCTGATTCTGTGGCTCAGTTGCCAGTTGCTAGCAAGCAACTATGAGGTCCAATGCAGGCTGTGCATTCAGTTTCCCAAGAGTGCTTCAGACATGCAAGAACACGAACATAGCAACTGCCTCTTTTCCTGAAAAAAGACGTCACTGCTGTAGGCTATTGCGGACCAGTGTTACGTCTGTACTCTTGCAGGTTCCAAAGCTTTGTGTAACAATAATCTTGCAATCCTACAATTCTATCAGTGAGGTAAATAAGTAGACCCTAACCTTCAATTGTGATGGAAAGATGGGGGTTTCAATGAGACATAGTCATAATCCCAGTAAAAGCAGAACATGTAGATGGAAACTCAACAAGCATTTTTATGTAACTGCTTCACTTTATTATTCTCTACTTTTTTTTAAAGATCTCTTCAGTATTAAAAATGTGCGCGCACACACAAAACTCCATAAAGGGCAAGGTGACTGGCACTTGTGAAGAGAGCTCAAGTTGGATACTGAATGGTCTCCAAAACGTCAGTAAGTGTACAAAACGCAGGAAGAAAAAAAAAACCCACCGGCATTTGGCAGTGAAAAATTGGTAGTAGGAAGGAGGTAGAAACTCTAGTTCTCTTTATGGTAGGTGCGAGTGCAGACCACATCACCCATTGTCAGAGTCTGAAAGAAAAGATGATACGTAAGACAATTATCTGATAAAAATTTCTGGAACAGTGGAATCTGCCTCCAGGAGAAAAAATTATCACCTTTTCTGAACTGTAAATTATTAAGGGTTGGTTTGCCCAATCTACAAAGGCATCAACCATTATTTTGCTAACCAAAATGAGCTGGACTTGCCCTGCATGCTAAACTGAATCAAAATAAGCCAAATTATACTATAGTGGGTTGGGTCAGCCCTGTGGCTGTGTTTCTCCATGAATAAAGGATTGTTCTCTGCCTTTTGTAGTGGAATAAAGACTGTCTTTGCCTATGCATGAAGAGTATTTAGTTCTTTCTGCAAGAAGTCTATATTCTCCTCCCCAGAGTTTCTAAGTACTGAGTTGATCAATTCTGTTAATCAGCAGTGGATCGATTCTGTGCTCAAAAGTGTTACTAGATGCTGAAGACATTTTTGGCAGGAATGTGAAAAGGGTTTCAAGTCTGAAACACGCTTTTTGACTGCAAAAGACCCAGATTCAATCATTGGACCACTTTGAAAGGGTGTCAAGACACTTTCTAAAATGGGCCAAACAACCTGCTTTCACTCAAAACCAGATGTTTGAACTTGAAGCATTTTGCACACTGTGAGTTTCTGAAATATCTGGAAATTGGGCATTCCAGAAAAGTAAAACAGGGACGATCCACCCTGCAGTATATGGTTTTATATTCCCCTTGATGGTTTATACATTTCTCTCAAAATGAGAAAGAATACAGAATCCCCAATTAAACCCAGTTGATTGTTCATTGTCTAGAAATGCTTTGGCATCACTGACACAACCAGACTGAACAATTTCCAAGAGAACTTCTTCCTCCAATAGAGGCCACCAATTGGCAAGAAAGGAAAAGATATGTTGAGACTCTTACCAAAATTAGTTTTCCATCTTTTATTTCTCGAACAAGTGAGGTCTCCTTTCCATCCCATTTTTGCACATGAACCAGTTTCCCTCCATCTAGTGTTATAATGGACTGTAGAAACAAACAATCATGTTAATTCAATTGCCAAACAACTTGGGGATTGTGAATAGAAAAAGGGATTATGCAAGACTTAAAAATACAGTTGAGTCTGCAGTTGTGACTTGCCCATCCTTCCACCTCTATTTGCGTTAGTCTCAAAGCAGAAGCCCAATTAGATTAGTGGATATTTACAAGTGGCTGTTTAGACCAAACTGGTATTATATGAAATGATATGTAACTGGGTTGCTCTTTACTTTTTTAAAAATTAGCAGCCTCAGAAACTCCTGATTGGAAACACCATTATGTATCTAAGGAGAACAGTAAATATTTTTCTCTTCTGCCATGGACCCATCTAAAAGCTTTTCCCTACTTCAATTAGCTCACTAATCTTTCCTCCTTTTACATCAGTGAAAGATAGGGCTGCAGATCCTTCAGTAATACACAATGGAAAAATTAGCTAAGGAAGTAAAATTTTCCATGAGTAGTCAAAGGATCCTTAGGAGAAACAGGTTTGGAGGAGGAATTCATGAGACAATGCTACCTCTTCTCCCTACAACAACCCTGCCAAGGAACCCTTTTTCACCCCAGCAACTATTTCCCTCCCTTTGCAGCATATAACATCCTTTTGAAAGCTAGATGACTGGCGTTACTATCACTGAGTAGACTTTATATTAGGGCCACATCTCCCAGGGAACCATGCTTCTATAGTGTCACTCTAACTCAGTGTTTCTCAATCTTGGCAAGTTTAAGACATGTGGACTTCAACTCCCAGAATTCCCCAGCCAGGATAATAACTGCTCTAGCTGGTTTTCCCTGGCTGGCTGTTAGCTAAATTGATTTGCTTTGAAGGTCCACCATGTACCACCACAATAATATATATACATTCCTTATGGGAAGCCCACAAGATATTTCCATTAACACTCGTGCCCTCAAAAGAGCTGTCTACCACCTAAATTGTATTTTTAATTTATCAGTAATTGGTAGTCACAGTAAATAACAATGCATTTTAGTGAGTCCCTGATATAGGTGCCTTTTCAGAACAATGGAACTAGTGAGATACTGTATGCAATTTAACTGTAGAACAGCTACTTTGAAACAATTTTCTGGCTTTCTTATTGTATACAGTAATGTACTATAGCCAAAGTGGACTGAAAACATAAGCCTTGCTGGCCTCCTCCAGCCCTAATTTTTAAAAAATGTTTCATAGCCCTATTTTAAATACTCTAGTAAGGCTGAGCACTAATGAAGATTCTTCTGTCAAGTCACAGCTATGCAGTGTTTGAGACAGGAATTACTCATACTTTTAAACCAGTAAAAATAATCATCACAAAGTTTTGGTATGTCAGGCTGTCATTCAGAACTACTTTTAAAAAAACAATAGCACACATTCCTTTTGAGGACCAGGAAGATCAAAGCCATATGGGTGGGCTTAGTTTATCTGAGTTCTGATAACAGTTCAGTTTCATGAATAGGTATCCAAGTTAAGATTGGTTTCAGTGTTTATTTAGGGATAAACCTCTGATCCAAGAAGAAGGTGTGACCCTCTGGGATGCTCATCTAAATGTGCAAAGGGCTACAGCTTCAGACTTTGGTCAACAGACGGTGTACTGTTTGACTGTTCTCCTTGTGGCTGCAACTCTATAGAATGAACTCTATATGCAAACCGTCACAGCACAATACTCTATCAATCTAGATTTGAAAAGGCTAAATAGACTCTTTGAAAGACGCTGAACAGGCTAAAAATTGAATGACTCTGAACAGGCTAAAAATTCATCTAAACCAGTACCTTCAATTTTAGCAGTGAAGCCTATAAGAAAATAATGAAGCATGAGATCTTATCATGAGCTACCTTTAAAAAAGAGACTACCATGGAGAAGAATTGTTTCTAGCCATGTCCTCCATGAATTGGTCTCACTTCCTAGTTTTAAAAGAGAGAAGGACAAATTGCCCCAGCTCAGTCTTCCATCTATCATCAAAGTCATTACTGGATACCATGTTCCAGGTGTCCTGTCTTCTACAATAAGTCAAAGGACAACCAAGGAGGTCTTCTCAGTTGTACTCCATCTGGAGAAAGCCCATACCCAGGAAGGTTTGCTTAATGAGACTTTTCATCTATTGGCAAAGATCTTATTTTCCCCAAATATTATTGTATTATGCATTTTAGGCACATAGTAACAATATGATAAATACAATATACTGCGTGGTATTTCAATTTATTTGCAAGCTGTCCTGAGGTGCTGTGGGGCAGGGAATTAAATCAGTAAATTAATCTCATGCAGATGTGGCAATATTCCATATGAGAAATTAAGCAATTAACCAGTTAAAATTTTTGCAATCACCACTATTCTTTGAGAAGGGCGGTAACAAGGTAAAAGAGCACATGAATATCCCTCATTGGAGCAGTCAGTGCTAAGCTAGATGGATAAAAAAAATCTCTCCTGGTGAAAATCAGATGCTGATTTTCTTGTCTAGACTATCAATAGATGCTAAAGGATGCAGCAAAAATCACAGCTCAAACTCTTAGTGAACAGAACTCTACCTTGACATGCCTGCTATCTGCTGTTGTCTCATCAAATTCTTCTCCCAGTACACAGGAGATCTCTGTGTTCTTGAAAGTGCTCTGGGTTTTGATGGTCACGTTGATGCCATTCACCTCAATAATGGTGGTGGGTTTGGTCAAATTGGCAATCTGTCTTGTGGCAAAGTTCACCTCTGCAAGAAAGGAAAAAGAGGCCAACTGTAAAAACCAAATGCTCAACCTAAAAACATGGAATATTTGGGGTACATTCCTAACTACTGCAAATTAATCAAGAGAGTTGTCCAATCTACTTAAGTTAGGTTGAAGTGTCCCTTCCTAACTATTCTATAATTTTGTTTAAAAAAAAAAAAAAAAGAGGAACCAAACTGGTCTATCTAGGGAGATCTTTCTACAGCTGGTTGGCTTCATATATCACACTCAGCCATGGTTTTGTTAACTACGGTTTGACTAAACCATAAATCATGACTGCAGAACATAGGAGCTGGGCTCTTATATTGCACTGAGCCATAACGATTTGACTCACGTAATACATTAAATTGTAATATGGCTTGTTTGGATTTGGTTAGTAAATCTGCCATTCTAGATTATCTAACCATAGTTAAAAGAAACCATCTCTTAGCACGTGTAAAGCAGCCAACAGCAATCTTAACTTTTAAGCAAGGAAACTGTGATGTCAAGTGCACCTTCTTGATGCAGAGCTGGAGATCCTGAAACGATGAAGAATATTTCCCTCTCCCAAAAGCAAAGTCTTTGCTTATCAGGATCCCAGCTGAGCTGAACTGAAGGTGGAGATTGTTTTAGCAAAGGGCTCACCCAAAGAAAGTGAACTGCCTTTCAGCTGCCAAGCCAGTTTTTTTTTTCCCCCTGGCATGGAACCATTTAATGGAGAGGGCTTCAAAGAGCCATTTGGTGTGTGTATGCACATATAATTGCCTGATGTAAGCTCTTGGAGCAAGATGTGTGATCTAGATCCTCTCAGATGAATGTAAAGGCCCTTTTGTAGTACTTAGCATTCTTTGGTGTGGACTTGCCCTCTTGCATTTTGCTGCCTGATCTAATGGATTTATTTAGCAGGAAGTAGCTGTTCTTTCATGCTCCATCCATCCATCCAATATTGTTCTTTCATGCTCCTTTATTTATCCAATTTATATAGCTGCCCATCTCAACCTCTCTAGGCCAATAAGTAGCATGGAGCAGTCGTTCAAAGGCCTGACTGGGACTGGGGAGATCCAAGTTCAAATTCCCACTTAGCCCCCCAAGAAGTCTATTTTGACCTGGGCTTGTTGTGATCCCAGAGACCCCACTTAATGCCACTTCAAAGGAAAAGTAGGGTAACAAAGTAAGTTAGGGAAGGAAACTGATATAACCATGAGAAGGATTGACCTCTCCATTCACCAAAAAGGGAGAAAATATCTGTTTTTTTTCACGTGTCAGCCTTTCTATTAAAATTGGAGTTTCCTTAGGCAACAACAGTTCGAGAACATTACAGAACATCACTGTGGAAGGAGTGACTCTCAGGAAGAGAAACTTGCTTTGCAGGCCCAAAGTCATTCCCTTGCATCTCCGCTTAAAATAATTTGGGAAGGGAAGGTCCTCTGTTAGATGCTAATCAGCATCAACAGCATGGGGGCAAACAGTTAAGTGTCCCAAGGTGGTCTATTGGAGGTTCTGACATTCCTTCTTGATGTCCTCTCCTTTGCCCTTCAGGCAAAAAGCATCCAAATGCTTTTGAGTGAGGGAAACAGAAGCAGGCCAGAAATGTAACTCAGTATGGCCTGTAGTAGCTTGCCCTTCCCCTGATTTTCCAACTCCCATGAGAAAAAGCTGAGAAAAGTCTAGCCTTCTGCAACTGGGGCTCTTAGACCTCATTTCTCAAACTGAGAGCCAAGCCAAAGATCATAAGTTGTCCCACACTGCTGGTCCATGCAGTCTGATATTGATAACACTGACTAGTGGGAACCTTCCAGGGTTTTGGCAGGATTTTCACACCTCTATCTGGTGATCCTGAGGACTGAGCCTGGAGTTTTTGGCATGCAGATGCTCTGCCATTGAGTAATATCCCTTCCCAAAGCTGCTCTTGAGGGTTATGAGCAATGAAATCCAACAATGTGGAAAAGGCACCAGATAGGGAAGTACAAGCTACTTCTTATTGGTGGAGGTGAGGAAGTGGGCATGTAGATTCTATGCCAGTGTTTCTCAACCTTAGCAACATTAAGCTGTGTGGACTTCAACTCCCAGAATTCCCCAGCCAGCGTGGAATTCTGGGAGTTGAAGTCCACACAGCTTAATGTTGTCAAGGTTAAGAAACAATGCTCTATACAAATTGCTCACCAAGGAGGATGGCTCATCTCATCTTCAAAGTTCTGGCTAACACAGGGCTACCATATCTGGTCTGCAAACATTGAACAGCCATCAGATGTTTTATTCCTGCTTCTTTGGCTGTGCAGGAATATCCTGTTAAAGGGGATTCACATTCAAGATGGTTGCAAAGAAGCTATACACATGGACTTCTGGCTTAGTTGCTGATACCAAGGAAACACTACAAAGACAATACTGTGGCATTTCTTTTGGAGTACCACCAGCATAGGCTTCCATCTCCACAGTTGCAAATGTGGGGCAAAGGCATGCTGGCTGAAATGCCATTTTTTATCCCTTCCCTGCACTGGGAAGCTAGAGAAAGTACCAACGAACTTATGAAGTTCCCTGGCCATCAGCAGTGGGTTCACTTGTGAGGTGGCAAGAGTTCGATTTTGAATGTTTGGGTGCCTACATTGATACTGGAACTGCTCAGAGATTGAACGCTAGAAAAGTCACAGATTCAAGCAAACTCTCTTTCCCAACAGTTTAACCTGTTTGTCAGATATTATGGTTCATAAAAGTGAGAGAATATGTTTCCTCATTGCATCTAAGATTTCTTTTTTACTGTGCTACTTTAAGTAAACTTTCCATTTAAAGCTTTAGCATAGACTGTTCCACAGTAGTTTGAAAAGACAAAGTCAAAGGAATAAAAACTGCCATAAAGACCCTGATGAATTGCCAGCATTTTCCTTGCAGATACAGACAGGCGGCAAATACCTTCCCATCATAAATCATTCCCATTGCTGTATTCATGAATACTATATCCCTGACAGTTTCTGGCAAATGTCTAGGATTCTACTCAGCAGAATTTAATGGAAAAATTCAGTTATATTATGGCAGGAGGTTTGGTTTCCTTAAAAAAAAGAAAAAAGAATACACATGATCGGCTAAATGCTTCTCCCCTCCCCATGTAAATGCAGAATTTAAAATGAGCTAACTGCACCAGCGGGGACTAATAGAGCTACCCAGAGTAGAGTGATAAGAAGAGTTAAGTTTCAATTATGAAAATTGAGAGAGAGACCGTGTAGTAGAGCAGTCAAGATGACCCAGGTTTTAATCCACCTTCAGCCACAGAAGTTCCCTGAGGGTCTTTTGGCCAGTCATTCTCTCTCAGTCCCACCCACCCCACAAGAGTGTAATCAGGAAAAATTAAATTAAGAAACAGTCTGCTTCCTCTCTGGAGCTGTTGAATGAAAGACAGGATACACCTGTAACATAGAGTTTGGGATGAATAAAAATGTTCCCTCATTGTTCCACAACCATCCTGTTTGTTTAGGTAGAAATAAGGTCTATTGTCCATAGGGGGATCACCTGGTTAATGATCCTTACTCAACATACAAGAAAAAGGGAAGATGCTGGAATTTTAATCCTTTCTATCTGCAAAAGTCATTAAAAACTGCAACCACCTAAGCTAAGTGGGTGCTGTGCAAAGTTGGCTTAAAGCCAAGGCTACACCAGAGTTATGTGGTCACAGAACTCTTGCTTCTGGCAGGATCAGGCCCAGAAAGCCAGAGCTCAGGGTGGGGAGAGAGCTGTACCAGGCTCAACGCCAGCTCCATGAGCAAACACCCCGATGACTCCCACACCTTCTTCTCTCACTGCACCCTTCTCAGGCAGCATTTCAGAGTGCATCCGCTCCCTAAGCACTTTAGTTGCAGGAAAGCCCTCCGGGGCTCAAAGCTTACTCATTAGGAAGCAGCCCAGAGTCTTGCCCTATCACATCAGCTTCTGGCAGAAAAGGACACACCACATGAATGATCACCCCACTGCTACACACCCTCTCCTTCAGTGCAAGACTGGCTTTGCACTCATGTGGTTTTTCTTCTCCTGCAAAAATCGCTCCCAGATGTTGAGTGGATGAGGAGGAGAAACCAGAGATCCCCAGGCACTTGGCTGGCCAAAAGAGGGTTCAATTAAATCTACCACACAGCAATGAGTTTACACAAGGAATAACTAGGGTAATGCTAAGTATCAAGGGACTACAATCCAACCCAGCAAACCGGTCTCTACTGCTTTATCTCTGAGCAATGGAAAATCCCAAGGTGTCATTTCATTGCATCCACATGCCTCGAATTACACCAAGGACGGTCACTCATGCCTTTGTCATTCCTCATTTGGTTTAGTTCCATTTGCTTTTCGTGGGACCCCCCTGAACACCCCCCTCAGGAACACTGGGGTGGGATGCGAAGGGCAGCAGCCCCTGGGCTTACTGGTCAGGCTCATTACTACCATGTTACACCACAGCCATTGCACTGGCCACGAGTATTTTTAAGTGCAACTCAGGGAGCTGGTTAGCACCTATAAGCCCAGCTTTCCAGATTCTGCCCACCCAGTCTCATTTGAAAAAGGAGAGCTCCCATTTTGAAGGGTGATAGGAAGGGGCTTGATGGTGCGGGCTCTCTTTCTCTGGGATACTCTGCTCCCCCCACCGGGTGGCTCCCATTCTCAGGGCCTTGCAAAGGCTTGTCAAAACCCAGCTTTTGCAGACGCCTTTGAGGGCTGACTCTCTGCAGCGCCATCCGCACCTGTCTATCATTTGTATGAACTGCATTCACTGCAATTCATGGGGTCATCACCGAGTTTATTCTACCGTTGGAACCTGCACGTCCCCAGGAGTCTCTGGATCGAGGCGATTCCCATAAATAATAAAATAATTATCAACCTGGAATTATGAGCTGGGCGGCGGGGGGAGGTGGGGGCCCGAGATGGGAGACCCAGATCCCCATTTCCAAACCGCACCCAGTTTTTCTACAAATGCACACGAACGCCACGATGGCCAGACACCATTTTCCCCCCTGGAAAGAGTAATGATCACCACAAGAACCATCATGCTAGCAAGACCCCAGCGCGCCATGACGAGGCGCCATCCCTGCCGTCCGCCAGTTCGACCTTCATTCTCCAAGCCGACGGCCAAGGCAGGCTCCCTCCCCGCCCCAAATCTCTGCCATTACCGAGAGCTTTCATATACTCGTCGAAATTGACGCTCTCGACCAGCTTCCAGACGCCGGCAAAAGCCTCCGCCATGGCGATCCTGAAGATCGGTCTTTTCTCGGGAACGCAATCGCCGCCGGGCCAGGCACGCGCTCTCGATCCGAATTTCTTTCTCAGGCGCGCGCGCGCGCTTTCGGACGGGGCTCGCCTTTTATTCCTGCCTCCTCCCCTCCTCCCCCCCCCCTCCGCCCGGCTGGCTGGCTGGCGGTGGCGGCGGCCTCCTCCCCAGGCGCGGCCGGTCTCTTTAAATAGCCCGAGCGAGGGATGTGGGAATCTGCAGCATTGCTTCGCCTCGCCCCGGGATGCGAGCGCGGTCTTGCCCAGTCCGCCGGCGCCTTTGCAGGATCGCCGCCCTGCCCTCGCGAAAGCTGCGGCCGCGCCTCGCTAATCAGGGGGCCGCTTTTTCTCTTGGTTTCAGAAACTCGCCAGCGCGATCCCGCCTGTTTCGCAGCTGCGAGACAAGCTGGGATTCAACAGGGGAGGAGGAGGGGGGGGTTATGGGGGCTGTAACGCTACAGTGGGCTTTTTTTTTTTCTGGAGGGCAAGGGGGAAATGTCTGGTTATAATTCCCAGCGCTCTTTGCCGCTGCCTGTGCTGGTTTGGGCTGCTGGGAATTGTAGGGCGATGATATCTGGAGGGCCCCGGTTCCCTGCCCGTGGTGTAATATTATTATTATCGCTTCTGCTGAATAGTTGCGCCGTGTGCCGCCCTGCGGAGGGTAAGCGTGGCAGGTCTGTTTGCTTTGATCCTTGTCCAGTTTTACTTTTGCAGCAACTAGGTGGGTTCTGCTGGCAGCGGGCCCATGCCTCATTGTAACTTCCAAAGTCACCGGCTGCGGTTCAGATACCGTTCAGGCGGCTTCTTGCTCAGAATGTGAGGCTTGCCTTAAAAATGTAGTTAGTCGAGTTGACCAGGGTGTGGTCAGAAAAGTCAAGATGGTGGCCATCATGGTGCAATCAGAACTCTTCCTTTTGTTCCTTGGGCAAACAGAAGGGAAGGTCAGCTTGCATTCCAACCAACTTCTAGATGTCTTCTTTATAAGAAGTGTTGCCCTCATGCCCCAGAGAGCTGTCTCTTATTTTGCCTGCTATGGAATATTGCCTCATCCCCAGGTGGGCCTCTCTGGTTCAGTTTAACTCTCTTTCTTGAGAAACTGGAGCTAAATTTCTCACTGGGTTCAGCTACTCTGGACGCTGCTTCAGAACTTGATTTCTTGCTTCCCCAATGCAGAGAAACAACTGTATTAGTTGGAGGTCTTCCAGCTTCTGTTCATGAAAATTCAGGGCACCCCCACTGCATAAAATAGACCCCACGAAACCTTGCTCCTGAACAACTGAGGTTTAAATGCCAAAAGTGGGAGTATAGCTTTACATCCAAACCCACACGCTGGGTCAGATGAATATTGGCCTGAGCAGAAAAGAATTCGTTGCTTTCTGCAGCTGACTGGAGTGGAACAGCTAAAGGACATGGCTGGGGAAGGAATCAAGAGAGGCCATCTAATTTCTCGTGCCATCACTGGCCTGGAGCCAGTCCTGGGAAAACAGCCCATGGGGAGGTCAGTGGTACAAAGTGACCTTGTTGGAAAAGTAATGTGCCCTCGGATCTGTTGCTTTGCAAATAGCCCAGCGATGTTGCAGGAACTGGTGAGAGAAGCACACCTGGAGGACACCAGCTTGAGACAGGTTTCTGTGAGAGCATGTTTGCCATCTAGATTGGGGAGTGAAACTAAATTGGCAAGAGCAGGCAAAGCTTTTTTATTTCTTCCCCCTGGCTCCTAACTACTCTCTCTGCTTCTTCCAGCATGGTTACTTTTTAACTGCACTTACTTCTCCTGAACAAGCTGATTACACAATGTTGCTGCCTGAGCATAAATTTGAACAGCAGCTAACATGGTAATTGGAAAGGGGGGAAGACTCAAAGGGCCTTTGGGTCACAGCATGGCATTGGAAAAGCTGGTTTGTGGCTTAGTATTCATTGATGCCTGATTTAATGTTAAGCCTCTGTAATGGGTTAATGAGCACCCATGGGGTGATGTCTTACACTCTACCTCACCTGTTGCTCTTTAACTATGCTATTTCCCAGGCACGCACATTGACTAGCAAGCAGATTGCAGCTGTATCCCTATGTTCGTAGATCATGTTTCTAGACCTTAAGCAAAGATAATAATAATAAAATAATAATAATTTTTGCATGCAAGCAACTCTCAGCAGCCAAAGCTGTGCTTGGGCAACCTGCTGTATGAAAATGTACTTCTCTCTCCCATTACATGCAGTATTACCAAAATCCTCCACAGCTGCCATCCTGTGATTATAGAAGCTTTGGTTATAATGGCCATCAATTGGCCACTTTAGTTAGGATGACCCAGGAAGATTAAGGCTGTGTGACCAGTTGCACCGATCTAGGGTGACAACTTTTTTCTGCTGTGTCTCTGTGTCATTGCCTTCATCTTTTCCCCAGCCCAGGAGTACAATTCACTTAAGTCACCCTTAGCTGTATCAGTGTCACTTCCCCTGCACTTATTCTAACTCCCTTTATGTTCCAAGGGCAGCCCTAAACCTGTGCCAAACCAATTAGGCTTTGTTACCTTTTACCTGCAAGGAAACTCAGGTGACTGTTGACTTGAAACAGTGGCAATAGAGACAGGAAAGGGAGCAGCAAGAAATGTTGAAATGCTAGTTCAAGGATGAATGGAGAGCGCTGCAGCTTAATGGTGGGGAAAAGCTCTAAGAGCCTTGGTTGAAGAGGGGAGGAATAACGTGTGTGCTAGACATTTTGGCTTAACCTGTTGTGCAAATACAGTTAGTGCAAAGCATGAGCCCAAATGCTAGTCCATATTGACCTGGTTCACATATCCTTCACTATTCATGCAGTCTTGGCTTGGCATGTTGACTCAACCCAGATTATGCAGTGTGCAAAACATGGAATATGGGTTAGCATGTGGCCTGAACCCAGCCAGTTTTATCTAATGGAATGAAACATGATTAAACAGGATACAGGCATGATATGCTAACCAGAAATTATGGGATTTGCATTCCACCTACATCTGAAGATTAACAATCTTAAGTGATGGCAGGGTAAAATCAATATTAAGAACAAAATCCAAAATATTAAACATCTAAAGGTTTTTTTTTTTCAAGAAAAAAACAACGCCAAGGTTGTCCCAACTGGGTCAAGTCATTGAAAAGCACTTGAAGAACAGCACCATCTATTGGTTATACTGTGTCATTACACTACTATACTCAGCTGTTTGGAAAAAAATAAGCCCTGGGTTCTGCTTTTCCAACCTGGCATCTGCAGCTGGGAATTCTTGGAGGGATTTTTAAGTCCAGCATATCTGGACAGTGCCAGGTTGGGGAACAGCTGCTGCAGAACGTCACTTAGATTGAGCCAAGTAACACTTCATGCAGAAGGTCAGTGAATACACAAATTTTTCTAGTATTTTACATCCTGAATTTGCAGTAAAGGGGCTTACAACAATGAAAAGAAGTGGTCTGTAAAATAGCCTGTTTTAACATAGGATCTTGCCTTGTCATAAAGATGCATACTGGAACTAAGACAGTAAAAGCAGTTGGTTGTCTGAATGGTGGAAATTTAATGAGTATCATTTGCACAAACAGATCCTCACTAGACATGGATGGACTCCAGAAAAATGGGCAAATGTGCATGTCCCCTCCTCCCCCCTTCAAAAGTGAAGTTGTATTTTTGAACACGGTTGACTTTTCAGGATTTTTTCTCCTGCACTTATTTTCCATTACGAATGGAATATGTTAAATATATCCTGTCTTAATGCCTATCTGATTGTGATAAATGCTGCTCCTCTTTAGAGACAGCAGCTATAAAAACCTTGGGACTATACAATCTCTGTGCTTCATTTATCTTCAACTCCTGAAAATGTTTTGCACCCTCCCTCTCCTCAGTTCGATTGTTTACTAATAGCTGCCGTATTTTTCAGATCTATCTTCACACGAGCGATCAATATGATTTTGGGTTCCTTCTGGGGAAGATTGCTTGCTTGCTTAAGTGCTATCAAGTTAGTGTCAACTCTTAGCAACCACATAGATAGATTTTCTCCATGATGATCTGTCCCCAACCTGGTCCTTCAGATCTTCCAACGGTGCACCTATTGCCTTCTGGAGAAGGAGCATCTGTTATTCATTTGTTTGGGAGTGTTACTGGATATTACAGAACGCTTTTAATTTTGTTACCGCATATCAGAGTGGGAGCCACTCAATCACTTGGGACTGGAAGACTCTATAAGTAAATAAATAGTAGGGTTTTTGGTTTGATTATGTGCCATCAAATCATTTTTGATTCCTAGTGACCACATAGATAGATTTTCTCCATGATGATCTATCCCTAACCTGGTCTTTCAGGTCTTCCAATGGTGCTTGGTTTTTACCAAAAGCTGTTTTATCTACATGTGCCCTTCTGTACTGTTTTCTAAAAATAGTAACTTAGAAGACTGCCACAAAAAGCAAGATGGAAGATCTTTCTTCCCAATCTGTTAACTGAAAACTTTGTTCATCAAAAAGTTATCAGTTGGAATTCCACTTCAGTGGTACCCCTCCCAAAGTATGAAACTCAGTCTAATTCCAGTGAGGACTAAGTGGTCTCTAAGGTGAATATATTGTCCAATTTTTATATTTGGAATGTACTGACCTGAAAAATCTCATAGGTGAGGCTGTGACAAGCATCTTTGGTAATAACTGCCATATTGATTTCCTTTACATGAGATGCTTTTCATTTTATTCTACAAGCCAGAGCAATTTCCAAAATAGGCAGAATATCATTTTGGAAAGAACTACCCCTTGAGAAGGATTCAACAACAAGGGTGGGAGGAGCTGGGGTACTGACCTTTCACCTGAAACGTTGCCTCTAAAATGTTTTGTAGAGAGGACCGCTAGGCCTGGTGATGAAACCAACACACAATCTCCTAAAGAGGAAGGCTTTGCCTCCAAACATCACAGTGACGGATACATACTGTGAAAAATGCACAGTTAAATAAAAACAGCCCATGGACTTTTGAATAATGTTTGGGATCCCCAAATCCATACCAGATGCACAGTTAAGGATTAAGTTCAGTGGAACAGCCTTTGTTTTGCACACAGCTGGTCCCATGCCCAATTCTGGGCATCTCCAG